ATTTATTTCTAGTTGTATGCATCGTATGCAGCAGCACAGCTCTCCCAACTGCTGTGCACCTTTTTGTGTTTGTGTGGTTTTTTTAGATGTCATGTCCATTCAGTGGAGGCCCTTCTATCTGCCTTACGAGCTAACGGTAACCATAATTATAATTGTTTACATCCCCCCACTGCTAACATCAGCTCAGTACTCAACCACCTCCAACTTATTATCAGTAAACAGCAGACAGAGCACCCAGAGGGCATCCATATTGTTGCTGGGGATGTTAAAAGTTATGTTTGAAATGTGCAGTCCCCAAATTCCACTAACATGTTAAGTTTCCTATCAGGGGGGACAAGACGCTGGACCATGTGTACAGCAATATCCAGCAGGCCTACAGACAACCGGACCACCTCTCTCTGCTCCTCATCCCTGCCTACACCCTCCTCAGGAAACAAACCCCTCCAACCACCTGGGTCATTAAAACATAGCCAGATGATGCTGTCATCAAACTACAGGACTGTTTTGATCTGACAAACTGATCCATTTTCAAACAGCAGGACCTGGAGACTGTGACTCACTTTGTTCTTTTCTACATTAAGTGCTATGTAGAGAATGTGACAGTGACCAAAACCATCAGGATTCTTCCTAAACAAACACCTTACAAGATGAATGAATTACAGGTTCTGATCAGAACTCACAACTCAACCTTGAGGCTGAGGAACAGTTCTCTGTGCAGCACTGCCAGATCCAACCTGAGGAGGAGCATCAAACAGGCCAAGGCCTACGGGAGGAGGATAGAGGGCCTCCTCACTGACAGCAACCCCTGCCAGGTGTGGGGAGGCATCCAAGCCCCTGTCAACCACAAAGGCCAGAGCCGCCCAACCCTCACCATCTGCCTTAAACTTGCAGATATGCTCATCACCTACTCGGTTTAAGCCTCCCTCCCCCAAGAACATGAGATCAGGAGGAGACTGAGAGGTGAACCCCAGGAGAGCTGCTGCCCTCAACAGGATCCTAGTGGCTGTGCTTAACGCCTGCACAGACCAGCTGACAGGGATCCTCACCAGGCTGTTCAACCTTTCCCAAGCTCAAAAAAACAGTTTTACTTGTTGTCAATTGTCCACCTGGGCCTTACACATAGTTTCTGTCTGATTTTCCAACTTTTATCTGATTTAAAGCTCAGCTCACATGAAACAATTATTTTAGGTGATTTTAACATCCCTAAATGTGTGGTAGAAGATGTCATCTTTGGCATAGACATAAATTATTGATTGGAATTTTTTAGCTATTTCAATTAAAATATGTTATCAGGATCTGTGAGAAGCGGAGAAAGAAACGAAAATATATTTTATATTACTTAAATATAAAGTATATTGTTGATTTAAAGAAACTGAGTGTACTGTACATTACAGACCTCAGCACCTCATACAATGTTTAAATCAAAACACTGCAACTACAGCCTAAAAATTAACATAGTACTACAATGTGGTACTGTACAGTAGATGTGTCAGATTACACAAACTGTTACCCACTTCAATATATTTTTAATGGTTCATTTCAAAGTTTATAAGAATTAATCATTTTTTGAAAGAAATAATTAAACACTAACATATTTATGATTGTATATTTATGAGAACAATTTTCTTCCTTTTTTCTGTAAAAAAAAAAAAAAAGACTGACTGCACCTTTAAAAACGTTTGCACTCGCCTGATGTAGCAGTGATGCAATATTAGGTTTTGCCAGTAGATGGCAGTAACAGATTGAATAAATGAGTGAGTAGCACAGTAATCATAGCAGAAACAAGAAACCACCGTTGCAGGGGAGAGACGGTCAGGTGTACATGTAAAGGTAAGCTTTTGAGTTTATTTTTATTAAGTCTGGAAACATGGGGGATCCCACGTTTCACACTTGCTTGATAAAAAAAAAAAATCCCTCATCATTTCCATTGGATCACAGCTGATCACAGACTGCAGCTGGGCCAAAGCAACCTCACTTTTTGCATATGTACCCATGTTGTATGTCATACATGTAGAATTTGATATCGAGTTATAAGTCCCCCTTAGAAAAAAAACTAGATTACATACATAAAAACATACATAAAAATAATTAGTATTTCTTAAATATTTTTTTAGGAACAGTGTTGTTTATTTACTTTGATTTGGCCATCTTTAAGGTGTGTTTCTCTTTAAAGGTGTTTCTATTACACTGTGTGCAGACTGAGTCCCCAGCTGTCTCAGGAGGACCAGTCCTGGTGGACATGTTGTGGGAGACTCCAATGGATGAGAAAAAAGGAGATCCTCTAATCTCTAGCAAAAATACACGTAAACAACTGTGTAGTTTTCTTTCTTTTCTCATACCACACAAAGGTCAGAGGGTCAGTCAGAAAACACAGGGTCAGGGATCGATCTCTTTGGCAGGAATCCCCTTTACCTGCAGCCCAGAGAAATATAAATAAATAACATTCATATACTGATTATTAAAGTAATTATTTTGTTAGTTGGTAAAACCATTGTACCTGCAACACATCAAATCTGCTTTGCTGACAGTTTTGTGATTTGTCAGCAGTTTCTCTGCAGCAGTAAAAAAAATCTCTGCTCTATGTTAGACTGTTAGAGTGATGTTCCTCTCTGCTTCCATGATGCTGTACATTATAGGATCACTTTATTTCTTGCAGTGGCTTGTTGATCTGAGCAGGACAGATTCACTGATGAACCTTTCAAGGCACATATTCTGTTTTGTTTTCCCAGAACACCTTTAACACAACATTTGAATAATAAACATTACTGTTAGAATCTGGTACTTTAATACAATTGAGAGTACATAGCAGGAAGAGAAACAACAGGTGAAAACAACAGTAAACTTCCGGTTTTCTAAAATAATT